AGGGAATATTTATAGGTTAGGTTAAGGGCAAGGGGAAGAGCTCATGTTTATTCAGCACTTTTTAAGAGGGGAAAGTGGGTTTATTTGGGGGGAAATGAGATTCTTTTAGAAGAGATCATGCAGCTGACCTTCATGAAAGCATCCACCTGATTAGGTTTGGCTGTCACAGGACGTGTGCTGTAAGCATCCTTCTCCCAGGGTGGTTCCATCTGGCCAGTGTCTTGTAATCATGGGACAGGCTCTGTAGACGTCCACTTTCAAAATGGAGTCTGTCGTGGGACATGTGTTGGGACCTCCTCCTCGTAGCTGCGGTCTCTCTTCTTACCCCTGTGTATGTGTGGCACCAGAAAAGTATTTTTTTTCTTTCTTTTTAAAAATTTTATACTGATTTATCTACAAAGTTTGAATACATTGTTTTTCATAAAAGATTCTTTCCATTTCCTTCATACACACCCCCTACCCATCAAATTACACAACCCTATGATTAATTAGCCAAGGCAGAGGTTGTCAGGGAGGGACACCTGGGACTTCCTGGATTAGCTAAATGCCATCCTTCTTGATCTGAGCTGCCTTAGGGGGAAATGGAAATGCTGGGAAGGAAGTTTTATTCACATCATATAAAGAGGAAAACGAAACAGGAAAATAGGAAAGACTGTGATTCAAAGCAAACTCTCTTCTTGTTGTTGTTGTTGTTGTGAAGTGCTGTCGAATCAACTGCAACTCATAGTGACAGCAGATCTGAACCCAGCCCCATCCTGTGACATCTTCATCATCCCTGGCAAACTAGAGCCCATTGTTGATAGTCTTCGTCAATCCACCTTGTTGAGGATCTTCCCCTCCTTTGCTGAACTTCAACCTTTCCAAACATGATGTCGTTTTCTAAGGACTGCCCTCTCCTAACAACATGCCTCAGGGATGTGAGACAAAGTTTCACCAGCCTTGCCTCTAAAAACACTCTAGTTGTACTTTTCCCAAGACTTATATGTTTGTTCTTTTGGCAGTCCCTGGAATATTCAGTACTCTTCTCCAACACCACAATTCAAAAGCATCGGTTCTTCTTCTGCCATCCTTAGGCCTTGTCCAACTTTCAGAAGCACAAGGATGGGCAATCTCCTCCCATGTGTAATTAACTGCATCTGAAAACTCACTGGAGGATCAGCTATTGGTCAGTTCTGACTCTGTGGTACAAAACAATAATAACATGGCTTAGATAAGGCGCACTATAGTCTTTAAACTGACATGCTTTCGCTTTAGTACTTTGGAAAGGTCAATACTGATGTCACATTCTATACATAGAGTCCAATTTCTAAAATTATCTGCTTAGCATACAGATTGAATAGATATGGAGAAAATTTACAACCTTGATATACATCTTTCTCAATTTTAAACCAGGAAGTGTTTATTCCCTTGCTCTGTTTGGACAATAGCTTCTTGGTCAAGGTGTAGGTTTCCCATTAGCACAATTAAGTGTTCTGGGATTCTCATTCTTCTCAGTGTTAGCCACAGTTTGCTATGATCCACACAGCTGAATGCCTTTGCATAGCTGATAAAACACAAATATACATCTTTCTGGTACTCTCTGCTTTCAGCCAAGATTCACCCAACATCAGCAATGATATCCCTGGTGCCATGGCCTCTGCTGAATCCAGCTTGAATTTTTGGCAGTTTTCTGTTGATGTACTATTCCAGCTAGCTATTTTTAAAAAATCTTTAAGATTTTACTTGCATGTGGTATTAATGATGTTGTTTGATAATTTCCACTATATATTGGAATACCTTTATTGGGCTTGGGAACAATTATGGATCTCATCCAGTCAGTTGGGCAGATAGCTTCTCTAAATTTCTCGACATAGCCTGGTAAGCACATCCAGGGCTGCATCTATTTGTTGAATCATGTCAGTTGGTTTCCCATCAATTCCTGGGGCCTTGTTTTTTGCCAATGACTTCAGTGCAGTTTGAACTTCTTCGTTACTATTCTTGGTTATAAGCTACTTCCTAAAAAGTTTCCATGTCAACCAATTACTTTTGGCACTTGGTGAATTCCTTCCTTTAAAAAAAAATGCTTCCTGCAACATTCAAGATTTTGCCCATAGCATCCTCAAGTGTTGCAATTCGAGGCTTGACTTTGTTTTTCAGTTCTTTTAGCCTGAGAAATGCAAAGTGAGTTTCTTCCTTTTTATTCTCTGACTCAGCTCTTAACATTTTGTTATAACACTTTACATTTCCTTCTCAAGCTTCTCTTTGAAATCTTCAGTTCATTTTTTTTACTTCAATATTTCTTCCCTTTGGGTTGGCCTCTCAATGTCCTAGTGCAATTTTCAGAGTCATCTAACATCCATTTTAGATCTTTTCTTGCTCTCCTGTCTTTGTAATGACCTTTTGCTGTCTTCGTGTATCACCTGGTTTTCAATCATTAGTGTTCAGTGCCTCAAAACTACCCTTGAGATGGTTATTAAATTCTTGTGAGATGCCCTCCGGGTTTGGTTCTTGTGGTCTTGTTTTCACTTTCTTCAACTTTAATTTGAGCTTGCACATGAGTAATGGAATTGACAATGTTTAGGCTGAAAACAGAAAAAGAAAAATTCTCCATTTTCACATAACGCCAAATGGACCAGATGGACCAGAAAAACTATGAGTAGGAAAATTACTCCTTTCAGCTTATCTGCAGCCTTGCATTGTTGCTTTTAGCTGTGGGTGTCAGCTACATTTCTTATCTTTAAAGTAGGAGTGGGTGCTACACACTTGGCTCCAGGGAAGATGCTTACATGTTATGTTGCACAAGAATGTTCCTACCCTTCAACTCAGCATTCCCAACATACACAACTAAGATGAGAATATGGAATTAAATAAACAAAGGTCAAGCACATCAGAGGTTAAGCAGTTTTTGTCTTTTATAAATAAAATTTTATTTTAATTGTGGTTTTGATGAATGTTTACAGAGAAATTAGATTTTTCATTCATTCATTACCCCCTCTCCTTCCCATCCCCCTCCCCAGTTCACTTTTTGTTTTTTACTGTTCATTCATTGTGTTGCAGAATTACCTACCTCTCCCCCAAGCCCGTCCTCTTTGCAATGATATTCCCCTTATTCTGGGCTGTTGTTGTACATATAATGCCTAATTGTATATTCCTTTTAGACAGTTGTTTCTTTTATCTGTTCCAATGCAATGGTCATTAACTATCCACTCTTATCCTAGTCGCCTCCTGACACTCCCCCCCCCATGTCAGACCTGATTTATAACAGTAGTGCGATGCTGTATTTGTCCTTTTGTGACTGAAATATTTCACTTAGCATAATGTTCTCCAGGGTTCTCCATGTTGTATGTTTTTACAAGTTCATTTTTCTGTGCTGTGTAGTATTCCATTGTATGAATATTCCATGGTTTTCTTATCCATTTATTGATGGGCACTTGAGTTGCTTTGATCTCTTTGCTATAGTAAATAATGCATGAGTGTGTAAATAACACAATAAACATGGTTGTGCATATATCTGTTTGGGTAGTGGTTATGAATTCATGGGGGTATATTCCCAGTGGTAGACTTGCTGGATCAAATGGTATTTCTATTTTCAACTTTTTGAGAAAGTGCCAAATCGCCTTCCACAGTGTTTGTACCATTTTAAACTCCAACCAGCAGTGAATAAGGGTTCCAATCTCTCCAAAACCTTGTCAGCATTGTTTTCTGCTCTATTGAACTTTGTTATTGTTACAGGGGTGAGATGACATCTCATAGTTGTTTTTAGTTTTTGTCTTTTCAAAACCATCAAGCTAGTGCTGAGAGGTTGTGCTTTGTGACTTTCAGGTGAGGGTGTGGCAGATAGGCTGCCAGACCCAGAAGCTAGAGGAGGCCCTGAAGGAACACAAGTCCTCTGTGTCCTGCATCAAGGTGAAGAAGAATGATGAGGAATGTGTCACAGCCAGCAGGGATGGAACGTGCATCATCTGGGATCTTGTGTAAGTTCCTGTGAGAGGGAGGATGAAGTGGCACTCGCCAAGCTCCACGATCTAGTGACAACTCTCAATGAGTGTAGCATCTTTCTGAAGTTGAGAGAGATTCAAATGAAGGGTGGAAATTTTATTTAAAGCAACAGTAAAAGGGATGTCCATTAGAAGCCATTCATCGTCTTACCTTGGCATTCAGGGTTTATGTTTGCTCATGGAAAAGGTTAGGGTTAAAGGCATGGTTTCAGGAAGAACTGAATTTTACAAGTTTCTGGATGGAGGGGGAGTAGATTCTTAGGTATACATAGTGAAACGTGAAATAATGTATATAAATTTAACTCAAGCATTGAAAGAAAGAAAATAGAGGAAATAAAGTAATGCAGGCAATTTAGCTTCTCCTTTGTCACTAAGTGAAGTCAAGCCCAGAATGAGCATTTGCTGGGGAGGGGAGGCCCTTCCCCTCAGTTGCCCAAGGTCCCAGGGCCTTCATACGGTAAGCATTGCAGTACCTGGATAGGGCTCTTCGTTGTTCCACGTGGTGCAAATGGTTCATGTGCTTGACTGCTAACTGAAGGCTTGGAAATCTATCCAGAGGAGCCTGGGAAGTAAGGCCTGACTGACTTCTTGGGGGAAATCAGCCCTTGAAAACCCTATGGAGTACAGTTGGATTGAAAAAACTTGGTAGTAACTAGCTTATATAGGCCGTCAAAATCTAAGCCAAGTAGACGAAAGCACATAGACCTTAGCGTTGGAGTGAGTGAAAGCGTGTCTAAGGCTAAGTTCTGCAGTTTTGATCATAGCGTTTTAGAATCATACCTTATTCTACCAACCCCTGGCTTGCAGCCCATTTCACTTCTAAGCTGTACTGTTGCTGTGTGCCTGCTTAAAAACCTTGAGTAAGGGTAACAAGACACTGTGCTTAACTGGAGACAAGAAAATGAGAAAGAAAAGCAAAGGTAAAGAGCTTTCCATCTAACACAAGGGGAGAAAACAGAAACAAAAGCAAGCCTCTGTCTTCCAGGCTAGCATGTCTCCAACTTTTATATGCATACCAATCATCTGAGGGTCTGGTTAAAAGGTACATTTTTGTGTCATTGGGCCTAGAATGGCACCTGGAGATCTGCATTTTCTCTCTCTCTCTCTCTCTCAATTTTAACAAAAGTTTACAGAGACTTAGGGTTTCCAGTCATTCATTGTTGCACTTTTCTCCCTGCCCAGTCCCTCCCCTCCCCAATTCACTCTTTTCCTTGAAAAGTAAAAGAAAAACTCTTTCATTGTTATGCAATCCCTCCCCCCAAGTCCACTCCACTGTGCAGCCTTCATTGTGGACTCCTGTCACGACAATAATACCCAATCATATATCCCTTTTAAACAGTTCTCTTCCTCATAGGCTTCAATGCAGTATTCTATGAAGCTCATAAGTGATGCCTGTGATGCTGGCCCGAAATCCACACTCAGAGGAGGTGTTAGCCTGCACTTGAACTTCCACCAGCAAAACATGTAATTTGAAGGGCATATCTACACTTCATTCCATGATTGGCTTTGGCCATTTCAAATCTTTAAAACCTTCTGTCGTTTAGCAGAAATTATTGGTTTAATTCATGCCAAAATCTTTGAAAATGTTCAGCTGAGATGTACCATTGGATCTGTTCCATAATGAGAAGGAACTCCACGGAAGATGTGTCCTTCGGACAATAAGCCTTGGCTTGTGAGATGGCCAAACACTCCCCAAGGAAAAAAAGAAGTGACATCTATATATTTCTTAGTAAAATACGTAGAGCAGTGGTTCTCAAACAATTATGGATGTAAGAGGTTGGTTCAAAATACACACCTGTGGGCCTCATCTCATCTATGAACCCAAGTCCCTGAAGGAGAAGTCCAATATTTCTCACCTTAAAAGGCTTCTTTACCCTCATCCATTGATAATGAAAATATAAAATATTATAAATACTGGATACAATGGCTTGATGGTTCATCAAAACATTAAGCAGAATTAACATATGATCCTGTAATTCTACCCTAAAAAGAACTGAAAGCAAAATACGTGTACGCCAATGTTCACTACTGCATAATTCTTATGAGCGAAAATTCTCTATTAGTTGGTTCTGACTCACAATCACCTTCTGTTGCATCTCCAGGACTATAAAGTGCAAAGGGAGGGCTTTTCTAGTAGTTTTGAACCACTGACAATGCACAGCATTTGAGTTAACTAGGAGACTCATTATGGACTAAGTCACCAGAGTTCCCTATGTGGTTTCTAAAGGGTAGAAAGACCCCCCACATGTCCATCAACAGATGAATGGATGAACAAAATGGGATAAATGCATGCAATGGGGTATCATTCATCCCTAAAGAAGAACCATTTATCCACACATGCTGAGATATGGAAGCATGGTGTGTAACTGCTGGGCTGCTCACCTAAAGGTCATCAGTTTGAATCCATCACCCACTATAGGGGAGAAAGTACCAGTCTCCTTCCGTAAAAATGTACAGCCTTGGAAACGTCGCCATGAGTCAGCACACTCAAAGGCAGGGGGTTTGGCTTTAGATACAATGTGGATGAATTTTGAAAACCGTACACTGAGTGAAATAAGTCAGTCATAAAGGGAAAATATTATATGACTTCATTTATATGGGAGCTCTGGTGGCCTAGGGGTAAGAAGCTGTTTTACAATCCCAAAGGCACATGGTTCGAATCTATCAGCTGCTCTGCAGAAGGACAGACAATCTCCTCCCTTGCAATTTACTGCCTCTGAAAATGCACTGGAGGGTCCCCTATGGGTCAGTTCCGACTTGACAGCATACACCTATTTATATGGAATACTTAGAAAAGGCAGGTATATAGAGATCAATGTTGATTAATGGTTACCGGAGCAGACAAGTAGGTAGGAGAGGAGGGGCACTCTGCTCCGGAGATGCTGAGCTGCTTCTGTTAAGGGTGATGGACAAAATTTGGAATGATGGAGGTTAGACAATATGATAATGTTACTGAATTGTACATGTAGAGAATATTGGAATGGAAAAATGGTATAAAATATATTTATTTGCTGTAGTTGTTATGTGCCATAGAGTCACTTGTGACTCACAGCAACCCTATGTACAAAAGCCCTAACCTTTGCTCTATTGTGAGCCAACCTCGCTGTCTCTGACACACCTACTCCCATTACCCCAATCACTGAATTGATCCACCTCATCGAGGGTCTTCTTCTCTTGAGCTGTCCCTTCACCCTCCTAAACATGATGTCCCCCTTCAAGGACTGGCCCCTCCTTGCAACATGCCCAAAGTAAGTCAGATGAAGCTTCAAAATCCTTGACTCCAAGGAGCATTCTGGCTTCACCCTCTCCAGGACAACCCTGTTTGTTCTCCTAGCAGTCCATGGTATATTCAGCACTCTTCTCCAGCACCACAGCTCAAAGGCATCAATTCTCTATCATCCCTAGTCATTGTCCATCTCTCTGACGCATAGTATGCAATTGCGAAGACTATGCCTTGATCAGGCACTCCTTAGTCTCCAACCTGATGTCATTGCTCTTCAGTACTCTGGAGAGGTCCCTCACAGCTGACTTTCCCAATGCAATTAATCTCTTGAGTTCCTGGCTGCTGGTACCAAGAGTATTGCTTGTAGAGCCAAGCAAACTAAAACTGTTAACAATCTCTTCACTATCCATAATGATGCTGCATTTAAAAAAGGGGTGGGGAGAGGAAACAAAGACCTTCCCCACACTTAGCTGCTCACTCAGCTTGTAGGCACATCTTACAAATGGTGGGCTCGAAAGTGAAGCATGTCTTGTGGGAGACAGCAGGCTGGCTCCAGGTCAGCCTCCCCTACTGCCTTCTAGTCAGAACCTGGGCTTCCCACTGGTTTGCCTTTCGAAATTAGCCCTGCTTGGTGCAATGCCAGGCCACACAAGTGGTATGGACAGAGTAACCAGAACTCTAATTTGAGAAAATACAAATGCTGTTGCATTAAGCCATGTTTGCTGGTGTCAAAGATAAACCCATTCAACCTTGTCTCCAATCTAGAAAATGAATTTTCTAGGAAAGAGGAAGCTGAGCTTCAACAGCTCGTGGGTCTGTTTTTCAGGCATCTCAGGAGGAATCAGATGATCCTGACGAACACCTTATTCCAGTGTGTGTGTTATCACGCCGAGGAGTTCCAGATCATCACCAGTGGGACAGACAGAAAGGTGTGTGCTCCTGACAGGACTCAAGATTGTTCATGTCAAAGGAAAATGAGGAAATGGTGGCTGATGGTGCTGGTCATGGCTCTGCTGGGTCAGCTGTGTCGACCTGGAAATGCTACGTACCCTTCCAGAGGGCTGTGACCGGGAAATGTGCTCAGCTGCTAACTGCAAATTCAGAGATGTGAACCCAGCCAGAGGGTCTTCAAAAGAAATAGCTGGTGGTCTGCTTCCCAAAATCAAGCCATTAAAAATCCCAACAAACCTACGGAGCCCACACTGGGTCTACATGAGTTGAAGTTGGCTGTGGCAGCTGTTTTGTTGTTGTTGATGTACCCTTTCAATGCCTTAACTTTCTCATCTGTAAAATGGATAATGGGGATTTTTCCTTTCTACTTTGTAGAGCTACTTTGTGGATTAAAGCTATATATAAATATATATATATTTGTATCTAGCTATCTATATCTATCTGTCTAGATATAGACATTAGATCTACAGATCTATAGATATATCTCAATGTCAAAAAGACAAAGATTCTCACCACTAGACCAGTTGGCAGCATCAGGATGAATGGTGAAGAGACTGAGATTGTTCACAGCTTTAGTCAGCTTGGCTCCACAATCAACACTCTTGACACCAGCAGCCAGGAAATTAAAAGACGTATTGACATAGTAAAGTCTGCTGTTAGGGACCTCTCCAAAGTACTGAAGAGCAATGGTGTGTCTCTGTAGACTAAGGTGTGTCTGGTACAGGCCATGGTCTTCGCAATCACTTGTTATGCGTCAGAGAGCTGGACAATGACCAAGTAGGACAGAAGGAGAATTGATGTTTGAGCTTTGGTGTTGGAGAAGAGTGCTGAGGGTACCATGGACTACTAAGAAAACAAACAGATTCATCATGGAGAGGGTTAAACCGGGCTGCTCATTGGAGGCAAGGATTGTGAGGCTTCGTCTGACATACTTTGGTCATGTTGTAAGGAGAGACCGGTCCTTGGAGAAGGACATCATGCTTGGGAGGGTGGAGGGACAGCGTAGGAGGGGAAGGCTCTCTGGGAGGTGGATTGATTTGGTGACTGGGGCAACTGGGATGAGTGTGTCAGAGACAATGAGATTGGCACAGGTCAGCGCAGAGTTTAGAGCTGTTGTACATAGGGTTGTTATGAGTCACAAGTGACTCAACGTCACATAACAACAACAACAACAACATATATATTACATATTATATA